TTTTGAGTGTCTTCCAACCTGAAGGACTCATCTTCTAACACTATATCTGACAATGTTCCAATACTATTCACAAGGTTTTCATTGTCTAACCATTCAGAAGTGATCTGCCCCTTTCTTCTAATCTGTGTAGTCCTGACACTCTGCTGAACCCTGTGCACCATGCGTGATTTAAAATGCTGGTGGTCCAGTTTCCAGCATCACAGCAACACACAAACCACCACAGTGTGACAATGTGACGAGTAGTACTCTGTCCTCTATAGGATACTTAATTGTTTTGTTTCTATCTACTTTTCTGATTCAGTAACTGCTCAACGAAAGCACTGTTCTTGCTGCGGGGCATACTCCATGTTTTCCCAACAGTGTAGAAAATCACAGGCACCCCAATATCCCTGAAGAGTCTTGCAAGCCATTCATGTCACTGTAATTCCATCACTAAACCACAGGGGGGAGGTTTCAATTTTGTTTTGATGGGGAAATAAAGATACTGAGTATAGTTTATTCTATGCCAGGGAGTCCCTACGTGCTGTAAATGGTTAAAGTGCTCAGGTGGTAATTGAAAGGTTGGAGGTTCAAGTCGACCCAGAGGTGTGTTAGAATAAAGGTTTGACAAACTACTTCTGTAAAATTATTTATTGAAAGCCCTATGAAGTACAGTTCTACTCTGACATACCTGGAGTCATCATGACTCAGAACAGACTCTGCAAAAAGTACATTTTATAATTTTACTCTTAAAATTCTCAAAGCCTGGTCCTCTGACCAGCAGCATCTGCATTACCTGGAAACATGTTAGAAATGTAGTTCTTGGACTCTACCTCAGACCTACCAAATCAGAAAGTCTGGTGGTAGGAAAGGGGCTTGGGTTGGGGAGATGGAGCCGGAGAGTCTGTGTTTTAACAGGCGATTCTGAGGCACACTAAATTGCTCTGTGGACAGACTGTGTTTATGAAGCAACTTTGTGACCAAGGGTCTTGGTTTGCAACCAGCCAGGTCAGAGTGGAGAGTGTGGGTAGAGATACATATCTACCTCACTCCTTTCAGCATACCCACTTCCAATGAGTCCATTCCAACTCATAGTGACCCTATGTAGAGTTTCCAAGACTAGGTATTTGTATGAGAGTAGACAGCCTCATCTTTCTCCTATAGAGTGGCTGCTGAGTTTGAACCTCCAACCTTGCCATTAACAGCCCAGTGCTTACCCCACAGTGCCACCAGGGTTCTTTTCTTTCCCCAGAGTTGTCAGCTACACAGATATGTGTAGCAATGGTGGTGGAAACCTAATTTGTTGGGGAAACCACTTCTTCATTTCTTTGTAGCCCAACTCCAGATCTTTGAAGACACTAGGAAAGGTCTACTTTGGAAAATCTAGGCTGGAGTCTCCTTTCCAATGTGTTAACCTGAACAAAACTACATAGGTAAGTTGCTTTCTGTTTAATGAATTCCCTATACAGGGTTGCTGTGAGTCGGAATCGACTCAACGGCACTTAACAACAACAACAGAAGGTACTGGGGAAAGGGGCCCTGGTGGCACAGTGGCTAAAGCTCCTGGTTACTAACTGAACGACTGGCAGTTTGAACCCACCCAGCGGTTCCACAGAAGAAAGATCTGGCTTTCTGCTTCCATAAAGATCTAGAAAATCGTGTGGGCAGTTCTACTCTCTCACAGGGGGTCACTGGGAGTCAAAAAGCAACTTGAGAAGCACACCCAGCACTGGGACGAAAGGAAACAAAGAAAACGGAAAGGCTCATTTTAAAGTCTACAAAGCGATGCTTCCCTACGGAACTGTCAGGTTTCAAAGCATCAGTAAGAAAACTTACAAACAGCATTGTACCTGAATACAAAGAAATCCTTTAAAAATATAGTCCTGAAAAGTGAGTCAAGAAAAGAGGAGGAAAGGGACGTCACCTCGTTCTTAGAGAGTTTCCAGTCATCATTAAGGTCCATTTCTTGGAATGATTCATGGGATCTTGGTCCATTTCGAATCTCCAAGAGGTCAATGTTGAATATCAGTGTACTCTCTGGGGGAATTTTACCTGACATGAAGATAGAAAAGAAGAGTTTTAATGCATATGAAACTTCTGATATGGGACAAAAGAATCATTCAACTGCATTTTACGAAGAGTCTTCCAAAGACTGTCACATATGATGGAAATTATTTGTAATATGTTGTTGTTGTTGTTAAGTGCTGTCGAGTCGGTTTCGACCCTGAACAGGGTTTCCGAGGCTGTAAATCTCTACGGGAGCAGAAAGCCTCATCTTTCTCCCACGGAACAGCTGGTAGTTTCAAACTGCTGACCTTGAGGTTTGCAGCCTGATTCGTAACCACTACGCTACCTGAGCTCCTTATTTGTACTACAGTTATATTTTATTCAGATAGATAGTTGGAGGTTGAAAGCCCTCCCAGAGGCACCTTGGAAGAAAAGACTGATGATCTATTTCTGAAAAAATCAGCCACTGGAAGTCTTATGGAGCACAATTCTCTTGACACACATTGAGTTGTCATGGAATTCCTAGAAGGAGAAGTCATGTAGTCTAATAAATTGAAAAAGTCTAATTTTTGCTTTTTGATTAAAAAAAAAAATAGAGAGGCACAGTTGTGCCTAATGGCCTAGTTATTAAGTTTTAAATATAATTAAGATATTCCAAGACAAAACCCATTGCTGTGAAGTTGATTCAGGCTTACAGTGTCCCTGTGCACCAGCGACTGCTCAGAAACCCTATACAGGGTCGCTAGGCGTCAGAACTGACTCGATGGCACTTCACAGCAACAAGAACATGGGACAGAGAAGAACTGACCCAAAGGACCCTATACAGGCTTGCTATGAGTCACAACCAACTCAATAGCACACAACAACAACATTGTATATAGACTCTAGTATAGTGGACACAAACTTTTAAAAATATGTTGGGAAACCAGAAAAATTCATGTAACCACTGAACCCGCAATAGGTCTGAGGTACGCCTGTATAGAATTGTCATTCCTACCACTGGGAAGCAGTCCAGGTGTGGCGCTGTGGGTTAATGCACTGGATTGCACAGTAGGTTTGAACTGCAAGGTCGATGGTTCAGGCTCACCAGTCGCTCCATGGAAACCCTATACAGGGCTGCTATGGGTTGGAACCAACTTGATGACACTTAACAACAACCACTGGGAGGCAGTATATCAATAAGTGAGCTCAAGTGACAAATGGGTGTCTCCAGTGTCCCATCCTTAAACTGCTGATAAAATTGCCTCACCCCAGAAGACTACTGGGAGGATGGAGGGCAACAATCCATGAGAAATACTTCATATTATACAAGAGAAACAATACACTGGTGGTAAAGGTTACTTAGATATTATAATCTCTTAGATTTAATAATCTCTTACAGGCTTTAAAAACAATGTAGAAATTTGTAAAAGTTAAGAAAAACCTCCTCTGTTTTACAAGGGTAAGCCAAAAAGTATTGCTACAAAATCATAAAAGTCATTATTAAACAGAAATATCAAATGTAAAGCCTTTGTTTCAACATTTCCTCCATCTAGGTCTATACACTTCTGAAGGTGACATTTCCATCTCTCTAACCCTTCCCCGAAGAGTCCTGGTGTGGCACTATAGGATAAGCATTAGACTGTAAACCACAAGGTCGGCAGTTCAATCCCACCAGCTGCTCCTTGTAAACCCTATACAGGGTCACTATGAGTCAGAACAGACTTAATGGCATTTAATAACAACCCTTCCCTGAAAAATCCTGCCCTCTTGATTTGCACAATATCAAAACGGCAGTTTTTGCATCCTTGAGGGCTTCAAATTGTGTTCCTTTTCAATGTTCTTTGAGTTTGGTGAACAAAAAGATGTCTGACAGGTCTGGTGAAAAGAGACGGGGATAAGATTCTTATGACTCAATAATGAGTAATTGTTATCATGACTAATTGGGACTGTCACAACTGTAAAGGTAGAAGTTTTGTAATAAAAACAAGGGAGTGGTTAATCTCACAGTCCAGAAACAGAGGACCCTAGGACCATCAAGGGAAAAGAGCACAAGCAGAATGTGGGATCCTGTCTAGAGAGGCAGCAACACCAAAGACAGAGGCAGAGATGGGGACATGGAGACAGAGCAGCTGAGGACTCTAGACTTAGGAAAAGGGAGGGACTATATGCTGACGGCCAGGAGGCAGGCTTGCAGAATGTGCCCTTTGGTTGTTTAAATTAAATTATTTTATTAATTTAAATATTTCTGAGTGTTTTTGTGTACATCCTCCCCCGCCAAAAAAAACCTAACAAAACAGAGGGTATGGAAGCAAATACTGTTGAATGATGATGCACAGAGGGAATTGTAATCATTGCAATGAAACGATTAGGATAAAATGTTTTCCCATGTAAACTATCATTCAATTAACAATAAAAACTTAAAAAAAAAAAAAAGAAATCTACAGGGGCAAGATCAGGACTGTAGGTGGATGAAGTAAGGTGTCCCAACAAAATTCTTATAGGACAATTTTGCAATTCAGCAAAATTTTCCTGGCCTTTTTCACACTAATGAAGTTTTCCATTTTTCTTAAAATTAGCCTGTGATTGTCCTGTGTCTTTTGATAAAATCTATCAAGAATACTCCTTTGGAATCCCCAAACATTTGCCAAAACCTTTTGAATCGACCTCTGTCTCAAATTTAACTGACCCAGCCGATCCCTTTAGAAGCCACAATTTTTATTGGACCTTTTTTTAAAAAAAAAACAAAAACTCTAAGGAAACTAAGACAAGAGTATTACTGAAGGAACTTATCTGCAGCCATCCAATGAGCCAATGAGCACAGAGACAAGTTTAAGCACATTTCGTTTGGAATAAATTTGTGCATGTGTGAACTGGAACTCTAGTAGCAATACTTTTTGACTTACCTTCTTAGAACACAATACATCATTTAAAGACATTTCATGGAGATTGGAAGGGAAAAATTAAAATACATTTCTGAGGTGTGAGATAAAAATCTTTAAAAGTGAAACAAGCTTTGTTAAAAATCCTAATTAAAAGACGTAAAAAAAAAAAACAAAAAAAAACCCAAAAGTACAAGCAATTTGTTTCAAAACATTTTCCTTATAGCCATATTTAACTTGCAGATTTGGAATAAACATTTCTAAATATTTCTAAGTATTTCCATGGAAAATCATTTGTAAGTATCAAAGAGAAAACACTTACACTTTATGTTGACGCTTACCACTCCACATGGAGACAGAGACAGGCATGCATTAGGTGGCTGATAACAATGGTATCTTTCCAAAGAAGGCATGCAAGCATGGTACTAAAAAACTACAAAATTAGTGTTAGAAATATAGTAGAAGAATTAGTTTTATGACATATAGTTGGAAGAAAATGACCCAAACCTAGACCTCTCCTTGTTACATATTAAAACTGAGTTAATTACAGTGCAGAGAAAGAGTAATGAACCAGTGCTACACACAGATATTAAAGATGAGACAATGAAGACACAGAAAAGTCAAAGAATACTTCTAAACAACACAAACATTTTCTAGATCCTTGATTTACTTCTCTAAAGATGATTATGATTAAGGTAAGATTTGAAGTTGGTTAGTAAATCCTTTTCTACATGTAAGATTTATATGAGAAGTTCCATTTTAGAACATATTTGTTGGTAGTGCTGTAGAGTTGGTTCCTACTCATAGCAATCCTGTATAGGTTCTGAGGAGTGACTGGTAGGTTTGAACCACCGCCCTTGCGGTTAGCAGTCCAGTGTTTATCCGACAATCCCACACCAGGCTAGGATAAATTGTTGTTAAGTACCGGGGAGTCGATTCCGACTCATAGCGATCCTGTACAGGTTTCCAAGACTGCAAATCTTTACAGGAGCAGAAAGCCTCATCTTTCTCCTGTGGAATAGCTGGTAGTTTCGAACTACTGACCTTGAGGTTAGCAGCCCGATTCGTACCCACTACGCTAACAGAGCTCCTTACTTAGGATATATATAGTGCTTCATATATGGCATACTAATTTTCATTCTCACGAATCCTGATCTTCATGTGAAATGATAAGGTTGGAACTAATATTTATAAATCTCAGTGTGGTTCTCTGTGTGGTACTGATGACTACTTAGCCAATACACACACATAACTTTTTCTTTATTATATAAGTAATTCATACTTATTATATGTAAAAAAAATATGGAAGAGATAGAACCAGAAATAAAAAATAATGCCCAATCCCACAGCCCAATAAATATTCTAATTTCCTATGATTCCCTGTGTGCGCATATGATTTTTTCTAATTCTTAGTATCATACTAGATATACTATTATAGCTTTATTTTTTACATGTGTGTATAGCATTAAAACATGAATTTTCAACACAAGTTTTAAAATCTTTGAGGATTCCAGTTTTAATAACTGGGCTATATTTTATTTGGAGTTTCGGTGTGGCGCTGAAGGAGAAGCACTGGGCTGCTAACTGAAAGGTCGGCAGTTCAAACCCACTAGCTGCTCTTTGGAAACCCTACACAGGGTCACTATAAGTCAGAACCGACCCATAGGCACTTAACAACATCAACAGCATAGCTAAACCCTTAACACTATGGGTTGGTTCCAATTTTTTGCTATTGAAATGGTGGAGTGATGCACCTCCCTATTCATAGATCTTTCTCCTGAAATCTGAAGTGTTTCTCTAAGGTAGATCCCATTAAAGGAATTGAAGGATAAAAGCATATAAACATCTTTGTTGTTGTTATGTGCCATGGAGTTGGTTCCGACTCATAGCAACCCTGTACAGGGTTTCCGAGTCTGTAAATTGTGGAACAGCTGGTAGTTTTGAACTGCTGACCCTGAGGTTAGCAGCCCAATATGCTACCAGAGTTCCTTGTTGATTCTATCACCAGAAGTTCCTTTAGAAAGTACCAGTTCTTGCTGAAACATCAAGTCTGTGTGCCTGCTCTGGAGCTCACAGTCTTTTCAGACCAACTATTTGCTGGTTTTTTATTTAGTGCAACATGAGAAACTAGACCATCTTATGTCACTCACTATTATTAACAACAAAAGATCATCAAAAGCTATCAACTTTTAAATCACAGTGAAAAGAATCCTCATACAGCCAGTCCCAGAGCCCAGATCTAAAATTGCATTTCATGCCTTAATAGTCTGTGTTTCAAATAGTCAATTTATGATACTTGTGTTGAATATTGTTTCTTTTTATATTGTTAAAACAAATGGTGAACATAAACAGAGTTCAGGGTTCCAGAACTTTGTACAATACTAATTCAAATGCTGGAGTCGTGGTGTGGTGCTGCGGGTTAATGCTCTGGACTACAGAATCAGTTTGAGCTGCAAGGCTGGTGGTTCAAGCTCACCAGCAACTCCTTAGAAACCATATACAGGGTCACTATGGGTCAAAATCAGCTTGATGGCACTTAAAAACAAATGCCAATTTAGATATTATTTTACTTTATTTTAGCAAGGCAGTTAAAATAAAAACTAAAATATTTCCCAAAGAAATCCAAGAAGATGGTAGTGTGTCTCCTAAGCCAGAGGACTCTAGTATTAAGGCAAGAAATGTGGAAATGTTCTTACCTTTTCCTTCTTTTCCATAGCCAAGGGCAGGAGGAATGATGAGTTTTCTCTTCTCTCCCACACACATCCCCTTCAAGCCCTGGTCCCAACCTTTGAGAGCCTCCAGTATGCCCAGGGTAAACCAAATGGGCTGACCATTGTTATGTTTGTGGCTATGATAGAAAGAACAGATATTGGAATTCTTTAGTCATTGCATTTTTTATTGCTACAGTACATTTTTTACCACGCATAAGCAGTTATTAGCTTGGAAGTTAATTAATAGTGTGACGCTGTGGGTTAATGCGTCGGACTGCAAAGCCATTTTGAACTGCAAAGTTGGTAGTTCAAGCTCATCAGCTGCTCCTTGGAAACCCTACACTGGGTCGCTATGGGTCAGAACCCACCCAATGACACTTACCAACATCAACAACAATTCTTTATTTGCACACATACAAGTTGACTTTTACTAACTCAATTGACGTCCCATCTTGCTTGATACAAATTTCATGCAGTTGATTCAAGTAAAGCAGGGCAAAGGGAGTAAGAATAAAAGTAATTAAATATTGTTTAAGCATTTAGTATATACTAGGAGTCCTGGTGTGGTGCTATAGGATAAGCACTGGACTGCTAACCACAAGATTGGCAGTTCAAACCCACCAGCCGCTCCTTGGAAACCCTATACAGGGTCACAATGAGTTGGAACTGACTTGATGGCACGTTAATAAAAACAACAGGTATTATCTGAAATGCTTTGCCTCTCTTAATACTACAATGATCCTATGAGGTTAGTACCATGACTACTCCATTGTACAGAATAGGAAACTGAGGTTGCCTAAACCAGTATGTGACCTCAAATATACCTAACTCCCAAGTTGTAATCATAAAGACATCTTGTTCCGCAAAACCAGTAAGGTACCAAAGCCACTGTCATCCAGTCGATCGATTCCTACTTATAGTGACCTTATTTTGGTTTCCAAGACTGTTACATGTCTACAGTAGTAGACAGCCTCATCTTTCTCCCAAAAAGCAGATGGTGGGTTTGAACTGCCAACCTTTCAGGTTGTCCTACAGTGCCTTCAGGACTCAGTACATGGATCCACATGCACATGGACTTCAGGGAGCCAGAAGCACAGCCTCTTACATACACCCCACATAAGAGCTTACCTAGCATATAGGTAAGCTTACCCACCCCCAGCTCCCACAGGTAGACAGGGCTGCCCTTCACACCTGAATCCCCACTCAGACCCTGGCCCACTCTTATCTCCCAGATCACAACTCATTCCAGATTCCAATATGTTTTGCTAGCACTTTGTAGCTTTCATACTTGATATCATGAGTTGTTTACTTATCCTCCTCCTTCCCTCTGTGGACTGTGTGTAGCTAGATGACAAGAACATATTCTTAGTCAATTTGCCTCCCTTTTGTGGTTGTTGTTGTTATGTGCTGTAGATTTGGTTCCAACTCATAGCGACCCTGCACAGGGTTTCTGAGGCTATAAATCTTTATGGGAGCAGAAAGCATCATCTTTCTCCCGCGAAAGAGCTGGTAGTTTTGAACTGCTGACCATGAGATTAGCAGCCCGATTCATAACCCCTTCCAGCATAGGATAATGTGCTGGACTGCAAAATCAGTTTGAACAGCAAGGTTGGCGGAAACCCTACACAGATTTGCTATGAGTTGGAACTGACTCGACAGCACTTAACAACAAGGCCACTCAATAACAGTTTGAAAGATGGATGGATAAATGAATGAATGAGCATGAATTGGAGCAAAATTTCTGAATCTGCCTACTACCTAGCAAAGGGGCTAAGATATAGAATATACTCAATAGATACCTTAGGAATGGAGTGAATTAAAATAATGACTGGTTGGAAATCATTATACTTGCAAAACTTTCCCATGTTGTCATGTCTTTGTTTATGGTAGTGGTGATGGTTGCGTACCATTGGGTCAGTTTGACAACCTTTATAGGAGCAGAAAGCCTCATCTTTTTCCCACAGAGTAGCTAGTGGATTCCAACTGGTGATCTTGTGGTTTAGCAGCTCAACATGGAATCCATTATGTTATCAGGGTTCCTTGTCCTTGTTTATAGAATAGAAATAATTATAGTGTATTGTTGTTAAGTGTCATCAGTAGATTCTGACCCATAGTGACCCTGTATAGGGTTTTCTAGACGCGGCTGGTGGGTTTGAATTGCCAACCTTGTAGTTCAAATTGTCCTGAAAATGTCTCACTGTAGGTACTGTGTTTGCCTTTCATAACAGGATAAGCACTGGATAGCTAAAGCAATGTTGACAGTTCAAACCCACTAGATGTTCCATGGGAGAAAGATGAGGCTGTGGACTCCCCTAAGATTTGCAGCATCCTAAATGCTGTAAGTTGGAATCGACTGAATGACAGTGATGAATGACACTCTCACCCATCAATGATGTCTCTGAATTCCAGAAAGAAGCACATCACCATGGAACATCATGGAACCTTGCCTAGATCTAATGTCATCTATCATAACGTTAAGTGAAGAGATTAATGAGATCACATTATCATACCCTTCCAGAGGTAAATAAATGACTGTGTAGTTTGCTCACAGTTGCTGTGAAAAGTTTTAGGTAGCAAATGAAGCCAAATAAAAGATGGCATTGACTACTTTCCCCTAAAGAATGGCGTTTGAGGTCTAAGCATTCTTTTAAGCTTTTCCTACTTATCACCTAATTACAACTTTGATGTTTCTTCAATATTTCAAAGCTTCTAGTTCTAATTTTTATAATTACAAGTTAACAGCTTTATGCAGGCCGCACAATTCCAATATGACCTTTAAAGGCCTCGTCATACTTCTGAGATTGGCTTTAAAAATGCCCTTTTCCCAAAGAAGAAAATAGGATGTTTTTTTTTTTTTTTTTAAGAGAGGTAAAACCTGGTACCCGCAATCTTTCTTGCTGGAGGGCTGGCATAGGAGATGGATTTTTCAAATTATTTAACCCGGGGGGCATTATTACTTACGTGGAATGAAATAAGGAGCCGTCCTTTTCTAAGTAGCCTTCATAATGGACCAGCATTAAGTCTCCCCCTTTGGTCTTACGTTGGCAGATGAATGGCTTCTGGAGGACTTCAATCTTCACTTCTGGTTCAGGGATCAAGGCCCCACTCAACCGAGTGACAAACAGAGTGAAGACCACGTTCCACGCGAAAAGCCTCATGTTAGTAGGCAGGAGAGTCCCTGCAAAAATAGAGAACGGACCCCTGACTGCAAAGAGTTAAGAACGTAGTTTAAGGCTTAGGGGCAACAGTTTCTGGCAAGTTCATGACTCTCCCTCTCTCGCAGACGTGGCACTTCCACTACAGACAACTCTGGCAGTTGGTGAAAACTTACTTCTAAAGAGTTAAATCCAGACTAAGGCCTGACTGGCTCCTACACTGAGGCCGCCAGGGCAGCGCGTCCTCCCATTGGCCCGCGGTCTTGCCCCTCAGGTGCCTCTCAAACCAATGGCGCCGCAATATTATTAGCAGCCCGGCCGGGCGTGGTCACCTATCCCCGCAGAGGACTGCACGAAGCGATCCTAGAGTTCCTTGAAATTAAAGAATTCCTCGTCCCTCGACATTGGAACAGGGGAGGAGTAAATCCGAAATTCCTCCAGCTGATTTACCTCTGTTAAGGATATAGCGAGGTTAGGAAGCCTGTTAGCCCATGGTAGAGGTTTCCCGGAAAGAGTCGTTTACTCTAGCCCTCGGTTAATAATCTCCACCCACCCACCCCCGCTTCCAGGATCCCACATTCTAGGCTCCTGAATTTCTTACTAATTAATGGCAAAAACTATAAAAAACTTTAGGATTTACAAAACGTACCTCAACTCCAACTAGCAAGGAAGTTTTTTGTTTTGTTTTCATCCCATTCTAAAAACGAGTAAATTTAGACTAGAGATATTCAGCGCCCAAAGAGTTGAGCTTCGACTTCTAACCAAGTTCATTGCACGGCTTAATTTGATGACTAATAATTTATAATTTAAGCGACCTTAGTGTATCTAGCAGGCAAGGAAGTGCAGATCTTCGCTTTAAATAGGAAATAGTAACCACAGTTACCAATTATATGGATTCCTGGTGTGGTGCTGTAAGATAAGCACTGAATTGCTAACCTCAAGGTCAGCAGTTTAAACCCACCAGCCGCTCTTCGAAACCCTATACAATGTGTCCATGAGTCAGGACCCATTCCATGACACTTAACATCCTCATTCTAATTTTTAAATTTCCGTTTTACATTTTTTCCACCTAATTTCAACAGTAATACATGTTCACTGTAAAATTTTGTAGAAATTGGAAAGCACTAACTTAACATAAATTACAGAAGCCCAGTTAAATTTGACTTTCAGATATTATTAGCGAATAATTGTACTATATATACATATATACATACATACATACATATTACTATATATATTTTGTTATACCAAATTACTCTTGAAAAAGGACCGGGGGTGGGGGGGAAAGAATAAAAGATCATCTGTAATACTCATCCACAAATAACCATCTTAACACTTTGGTGCCTGCTCTGTGACATATGCCTAAAGTAATTTGATCATATTGTGCACTGTTTAGTAACCTGCTTTCGCCACTTAATTATATTTAACATTTTTCCAGGTCATATATTCTTAGCACAGTGCTTGTCACATTTTAATGCGCATAGAAATCCCCTGGGGATCTTGTTAAAATGCAGATTTTAACTCAGCAGGTATAGAAACCCCCTGGAGATCTCGTTAAAATGCAGATGTTGATTCAGCAGGTCTGTAAGGGATAAGATTCAGCATTCCAACAAGTTTCCGAGTGATGTAAATGTTGCTGGTCTAGAGACTTCGACTGATAATGAAGCCTAAATGGCGGCAGTTCGAAACTACCAGCGGTTCCGCGGGTAAAAGATAAGGCTTTCTGCTCCCAGTAAAGATTTACCGCCTCGGAAACCCTATACAGGGTCGTTATGAGTCTGAACCGACTTCACGACACACCACAACATATATTTACCAAGGCCACACAGTACCCCATTGTGAAATTCTCGTCTTCTCGGTAGGCTCTATTGTTGGATACTTCGAGGGGGTGGGATCAAATAGAAAGGGCTGAAATAAGTATTGGATGTTAACTACTGAGCTCAGTGTTGCTGTTAAATACCATCAAGTCAGTTCTAACTCATAGCTACCCTGTATAGGGTTTCCAAGGAGCAGCTGGTGGGTTTGAACTGCTGATCTTTGGTTCACAGTCCGGTACTGATCCTATAGCTCAACACCAGGATTCCAGTGGGTATCGTGAAGGGACCATTAAAGAAGGGTCCAAATGATGAGAAATGGGACCTGACCCCATCTACGGCACCATTAAAGTCAAAGCTGTGTCCCACACTTCTCCCCAGGGGCACCCCTCCTGCTTTTTTACTCAGCCGACAAGCCGGCTAGCCAGAGTCCTAGGCTCTTCCCTAGGACTCAGTTTCCTTGCCGGCTAAATTGGCTACGTCAGCTCCACCACCGCTGTCGCGAAACCACGAAGTGGATTTCAGGAACCGGAGCGCGAGTGGCGCATTGGGCATGCGCGAGCGTGCTCCCGGCCGGGTAGCTCGGGGCTCAGGTATCGCGGTGGCGTTGGCGGCGCTCCCTGCGATCGGCTCTATCGGTTGGTGCACGTACGAGGCTTAGCCGTTCCTCCGACATACCTGGTGATTTGACTTCCTTGTGGAAGTCCTCGGGGACCGCGTGGGTCCCCAGCCGGCCAAGTCCTCACGTGCCGAGGCCGCCGCAGTGACCCCGCCCCCGGGCCGAGGATGTGAGGCCGGCCGGACGTCCCCGCACCAAACCCGGGCTTGGGCAGTGGGCGTCTCGGCACCGCCGGGCGATGGCCCTGCTGCCGGTGCTCCTCGCCTCCTGGGCCCTGGGGCAGTGAGGGACCGGCGGGCGTGGGGAAGCGGCCCAGGCGCAGTGAGCACCATGGAGGGTGTGCTGTATAAATGGACCAACTATCTGAGCGGTGAGTGGACCCCCGGGTCGGGGGGCGCGCCGGGGCCGGGTCCTTTGTCTGAGCGGGCCGGAGGGCGGTGTCTCTGCGGGCGGCTCCGGACACGCCCCCTGGGGGGGTCTGGGTCGGGGTCCCTGCTGCGAACCCGGCTTGTTTCCCTGAAGCGATCTCACTGCACTGACACCGCAGCTGCCGGCTCCCGGAGCTGGGTGAGAGCAGTAGCTGCTCTTTCACTTCAAGGAAAGCTACAAAACTGAGATTTGCGGTGACTTGAATGGCACTATGACCTCAGAAGGAGCCAGTCTCGCCTGGCTTGCACGTAGATTGGAAGATTTCAAGGGAATGCCATCTGGAATTCAGAAGTGAAAAGATCCTTTATTAAAAAAAAAAAAAAAAAAGTCCCCAGTGCAAACACTTTTCCCTTGTCACTTTCACCTTTGCGTGCGGACGTAGGTATCAGAATTCCACCTCTACAGTTACAAAGTCCTGAAGTACGACAAGGTTGTTGGTTTTCTCATAGAACAATACTTATTGTTTTACAGACACGAAAATTACTATAAAATAAATGCAAATAGTAGCACCTGTTTCCTGGCTGGTCAGAATATCTTAATAATAGTTCCCCCTCCCCAATTAGATTTGTGGCTGTAGTTTCTTTTCATCTTGAAAAGGTCATAATACAACTCTTCTTCGACTGTGAAGATGATTCAGGAAAAGCACCCCACCCCAACCTCACTTATGCAACCAGTATTTAATAAAAGTCTACTGTGGTGCCAGGGAGTTCTGGTGTGTGGTGTGGGTTAATGCGCTGGACTTCAAAGTCTGTTTGAACCACAAAATCGGTGATTCAAGCTTACCATTCGCTCCTCGGAAACACTATACAGGGTCGCTATGGATCGGAACCAACTGGGTGGCACTTAACAACAACTGTGTGCTGAAATGAGGAGCCAGGATGGAACAAGCACTTTGGGATTAACCTAAAGAATGGCAGTTAGAACCTACCCAGCTACTCCAAGGTCTGGCAAATGTGTCTATAAAGATTACAGTCAAGAAAGCTCTGTGGAGCAGCTCTACTCGGTAATGTAAAGGGTTTCCAGGAGTCAGGGCTGACTTGATGGCAGTTAACAACAACTAAGCTCTGGTAGCGTAGTGGTTAGGAATCCGGCTGCTAACCTCAAGGTCAGCAGTTTGAAGCTACCTGCCAGAGAAAGATGAGGCTTTCTGCTCTGGTAAAGACTTGCAGCCTCGGAAACCCTGTGCAGGGTCACTATGAGTCGGAACCCACTCCAGGGTACTTAACAACAACAGCAATGTTCTATGAGGAGTTTTCAGGTGATGTAAGCATGACCCGACTCGATGGCACTTAACAACAACAACAAAGCATGATCATGTTACTACCAGCTGCTGACCTTAACGCTGGAGGTTGAAGTTCACCCAGAAGTACCTCAGAAGAAAGTCCTGGCAGTCAGAAAAATCAGCCGTTGGAAACCCTATGCAGCAGTTGTACTCTGACTCACATGAGTCATTCTTAAGGTGGAGCTTTTGGCTAGGTGCTGGAAACGGCTAGTCACTTTTTTCATATGGGGGGGGGGGAAACCCTAAATGTGTTTATTAAGGAAAATAGGCTAGATGCTTTTAAATTTAATAGTTGTGATTTTGTACATGGCACAGTACACCTGCTGAGAGTGCCCAGAATTCCTTCCCTGTGCATATAGTATAGTTGATAGGGAGTTCTCTTTATTTTTCCTGTAATCATTAGTAGAGACTAGTTCAGGAGAGGGTTTGTAAAAGACCCTGCTTTTGTTTCAAGGCCTGTCAGTGATTAGACTGGATGTAGCTGCTGAAGGTTGGATTCACATAATTTTCTGTTTGTGGTCTCTCTAAGTTCTAAGATACTTGGATCTTGTGCCTTTCCGTCATACTTGCTTGCTGGTTCGTCACTCTTTTTTGTTTATGTACACTTTCTACCTCAACTTTATCTTTTATCCCTGTCCTTTTTTTAACCTCTCACTTTCTTCCAGGGCTTTGAACCAGTTTTAACTGGTTTAGTCATAATCACAAATGCAGCAAAAGCAGAACAGACCCTAATTTTACAACATTTTAGTGAACAACAGCTAGATCGGGGGTCTTGGAAGAGGCGTAGTGAACCCTTTCAGGAGCCTGATGGATTGTTGCCAGAACCAAGAAGAGGGACATACATTCAAAGCAGTGTGGCCAGCTGCTATCTTTGAGCAGGACAACATTGTTTCCAACTGTGCCATTCAGGAGATTTGGTTGCTATGCAACACACATGGTTAATCCACATCTTCAAAAACAAAATCCATTCCAGTTTTGTTTCTTCAGCTATAACTGAACCAGGAAGAATTGGTTCAAAGCCCTGCTTTCTTCCTCTTTTTAGTGTGGGAAGTTAAGTCTGTTGTTTCCTGGTAGTGAAATACTCTGGTTTTGTTTCCCCTCACTGACTGCACTTGTGTATCATTCAATAAAGTAAAATTTTTCTGGGAGTATCTTGTGGAAACTTTGTCATGTGGTATCTGTTCCATTTGTTCTGTTGTGAAAAATTCCATCTTTTCTTCCTAAATAAGGAGAAGTTAATGCTCTGTTGTAGCACCTGACCAGAAGCTCTAAAGAAGAGGCTGTTGCCAGAGGCTAGAGGTGTCATTAGAAGGGTTTGGGTTCATCAGGATGTGAACGGTCCTGTCTGTGGAGCCATGGCAGGAGGAGTTGTGGGGGACAGGGCCAGGCTGCTCTGCTCACGATGGGGGTGTCACTGGCCAGTCCTGCCCACAGTGAGAGGGATACCATGAGCTACTGCTCTGATTGACTCCAACCCAAGTGATGCCACTAGCTTCTTTACACCATGCTGTGTTTCCTCAGCATGTGTAGCGCCTCCTGCTGGACACACTGCTCATAACAGTCTGTCACACCATTAGGTACTTTTCGAACTGTTACAATTAAAGCTATGGTGGTGGTTATATGCTGTGGAGTCGGTTCTGACCCATAGTGACCCTGTACAGGGTTTCCGAGACTGTAAATCTTTACGTGAGCAGAAATCCTCATTTTTCTCCTGCGGAACACCTGGTAGTTTCGAACTGCTGACCTTGCGATTCACAGCCCAATTCATAACCACTATGCTTTCTACTCCCGTAAAGATTTACACCCTCGGAAAGCCTATACAGGGTCGCTATGGGTCGGAACCGACTCGATGGCACTTAACAACAACAACATGTTACCAGAGCTCCTTACAATTAAAACTATAGTTCAGCAAATTCTCTTTCATTAGGAGATACGTTGTTATGTAGTGCCTTTGAGTTTGTTCTGACTCATAGTGACCCTGTATAAGGTTTCCAAAGAGCAGCTGGTGGATTTGAACCACTGACCTTGCTGTTCAAACCAACCTTGCAGTCCAGTGCTTATCCTACAGTGTCACAAGTGCCATCTAGATGGTTTCAACTCATAAGGACTGTGTGTAGGGTTTCTCAGAGTGGCTGGTGGGTTTGAACTGTTGACCTTGCTTTTTCCTACATGCTACAGGCTTGAGAGGAGTCCTGGTGTGGCACTGTGGGTTAATGTGCCAGACTGTAAAGCCGTCTGAACTGCAAGGTTGGCGGTTCAAGCTCACCAGCTGCTCCTTGGAAACCCTATACAGGGTCACTATGTGTCAGAGTCAACTTGACGGCACCTGATAAAAACAACAACAAATACAACACAGGCTTGAGAGGAGTCCTGGTGTGGCGCTGTGGGTTAATGAGCCAGACAGCAAAGCCATTTGAACTGCAAGGTCGGTGGTTCAAGCTCACCAGCTGCTCCTTGGAAACCCTACACAGGGTCATTATGGATTGGAATCGACTCAACGGCACTTAACAACAACAACAACAGGCTTGAGAGATATATTAAGTGTTAGAATGCAAGGTCGGTTTGAATCTCAAGGTCGATGGTTCAAGCTCACCAGCCACTCCTCAGAAACCCTATACAGAGTCACTATGAGTTGGAACCCACTCAATAGCACTCCTCAGAAACCCTATACAGAGTCACTATGAGTTGGAACCCATTCAATAGCACCAACATTAGCCTAAGAGGAACAGATGCCTTCTTTTTTCCTCTGCTTTCCTTTGTGAATGGTTTTCCAGAAAGAATATGATATGTTAATGACTGACTTTGATCGAGACATCACCCTATCCACGCCTCACTTTTCAACCTGGTTAGGTTTTAAAGACCAGGTCGATGTGCATTTTATGTGGAGGAGGTGGTCCTAGAGCCCAAATACTCAGAAAGGTTGTGCCTCCAGCCTCACTGTGCTCTGGACTCCAAAGCCCATGCTACCCAAAGCCACTCCCTCCCCAGCCCCAGCTGCTACTCTGCAGGCCAGGGAGGACCCCAAGTAAACCAGCTCTGAGCTGCTGGTCTTGAAGGGCTTGGGACTAATCACCGCTTGGCAGAGGAGCCTATTAGCCCTGCTGAGGGTGAGGAGGAGGGGGCAGCTTCTGCCGGCACGTCCTGAATTACTCCCAGTACCCTTCCTTCTGTAGGATTGTTGAGTAGAGGGAGGGAACAACAATAGCATCCTCTCCCCGGACTTCCTCCTGAGTCCCTGTAGCCGCCGGCCACTAATGGACCCTTCTTGGAGTTTTTTTGTTAAGTGCCGCTGAGTAGGTTCCTTGAGTAAGTTCTGACCCTTTATAGGGTTTCCAGAGATTTCTCAGGATCGGGCAGTGTTTCCTTCTGTTGTGCTCAGGGTCTCTATGAGTCGGTGCTGACTCCATGGCACCTAACAACAACAACAGCAAAGGAGCTTTGGTAGTGTAGTGGATTACTACTGAGCTGCTCCCTGCAAAATCAGCAATCTACCAGTCTCTCTGTGGGAGAAAGATGGGGCTTTCTGCTCCTGCAAGATTCACAGCCTCGGAAACCCTGTATAGGGTCACTATGAGTCAGAATTGACTCGGTGGCACACATCCTTGAGGTTAGCAGTCCATGACTTAACCTACAGCACCACACCAGGACTCTGTGTTCTT